TGATTTATTGTAGAGATGAGGTCTCACTGCCCAGGCGGGTCTCGAACCTGCGGGCTCAGGCAATCCACGGGATCAGCTATTGAGGGCTATCTCCACAGTGTGCTGGAGGATAGCTAGAGCTGGCCAGCGCAAGCAGAGCGTACAGTGGGGCCAAATTGTTGCTGTTAGCACAAATGGCACTAGAGGTAGAGCGTCTGTCACCCAGCCCTTCTACCTGAGTCAGAGGGTAGCTTAGCTAGGACACTGGTAATGCTAGCTCATAGGTACTTTTGTGAAAACTAAAAAAAATAACCCTCTTCCTCAAGGTGCTCCGCTTACATCTGTTGGGAAATTGTAGGATGCCAATTTTGTTAAGGAAAACGACTTGACTGTTCTCCACAATATGAAGGTGACCCTTCGATGTGGTGCACTTGGGTACCATGGGTCGTGAACCATACGTGGTGACCCCACCAGGATCCCTGACTTGCCCCTCCTGTGGGATGGTCCTGCTCCCTCCTGGCCTGTTGCCATGATAACCTCCCCTTCCCTCTGTATCTCCTGGCAAGGTGCCAAGACTGGTTGGAGGCTTTGCACTGGTACAACACTGCCCTGGAGATGACAGACTGTGATGAGGGCGGTGAGTACGACGGGATGCAAGATGAACCGCGGTACGCACTCCTGGCCAGGGAGGCCGAAATGCTGTTCACCGGTGGCTGCAGGCTGGAGAAGGACCCACAGAGATCCGGTAGGGCCTGACAGCGCTGCCCCTGGATGAGTCTTTTTCTCCAGGAAGGGAATTTATGGAGCTCTCATGAAGATGAACATTTGTATTTTAATGGTTATAGATTAGAGTTTTTATGAGGGTTTCTTTTGTAACTTTAAAAATTGCACTGAGATTTTTCATAACATAAAATTCACCATCTTCAAGTGTACAGTTCAGTGGCTTTTTAGTATTGTCACAGTGTTGTGAACCATCACCACTTTGTAATTCCAGAACATTTCCATCACCCCAAAAGAAACCCTATACCAGTTAGCAATCACTCCCAATTCCTTCCCCCAACCCTTGGCAACCACTAATCTACTTTCAGTCTGTATGAATTTATCTATTCTGGACATTTTATATAAATGGAATCATACAATATGTAGCTTTTTGTGACTGGTTTCTTTCTATTGAAATAATGTTTTCAAGATTCATCCATGCTGTAGCATGTATCAGTACTTCATTCCTTTTTACTTTTTTTATTTTTTATTTTTATTTTTTGAGTTGGAGTCTCACTCTGTCACCCAGACTGGAGTGCAGTGGCCGCTCCCGGCCACCGCGGCCTCGACCTGC